TCCTGGCCTCCAGTTGCCGGGTCTGTGCGCTTCAACAAGGGGGCCAGCCTGGAAGGATGTGGGCAGGACACAGCGCCTCCCAGATCCCAGCAGACCCGAAGTCTCACGGTTTTGAGCGAAGGCTCATATGACACTTGTTACCCAGAGGACAGGGCAAGGGTGCACCCGCTGGGGAGCCGAGTGGGTGCTGGGTGTGCTGGGGTGTCGCCTGTTGAGTGTCAGCTGCTTGCAGAGGCCTGCCTAGAGGGACCGAGTGTGGTTCGAGGGGGGAAGGGGCAAGCAGACAGCGGGTCCGGGAGGTGGCGGCCCCACACGCTCAGCATCTGGCCAGCCAGCCGGCAATGCCTCCATTATTTCACGACGTCCATGGCAATCTAGTGGCCCTTAGGGAGGGTGGTTCAGGCGGGAGATCCAGCCCAGGGGTCCCAGTTCTGCACTGTTGGGCGGTTAGGAGGTCTGTGTGGGACAGCTGAGGGGCGTGGAGTCTGGAGGAAATTGGCGCCCCTCACTCTGCCCTATCCCTTCCGCCCCAGCAGCGCCTGCAGGGCCCCTTCTGTTCTCTGCTGTCCTGGGCCCCTTCCTCCCCGCTGTCCCTCCGCCTGACTCTGCCACCCTTGCCGTCTCTCCCCTTGTGGGTGCTCTTGCTCGGGCTGGAGGCCAAGGGGCTCACGGGGGTCCTTACCCCGAGTCCCACCGAAGGTGCAGACGGCAGCGGCCCCGGGGGCCCCGGGCCGATCTCTGTCTCTACCCAGCTCTGTTTCCAGCAGCATGGCGACCACCAGGCCGAAGATGAGGCCCGAGTGGCCCCGGGCAGCCCTCCTCCCTCCTCCTCTGCCACCCCGGGGGAGGGCTCGGAGCTCCCCAAGGTCCCGGGAGCCTCGGAACGGCGAGCCTGTGGTGCGCGGTGTGGCCAGGCGGGAGACTCTGGGCCCGGGCGCTGTCCGCGGTGCTGAAGGAGGCGCGCGGCTGCCCACCTCCCCACCTCCCCAGGCCCCCTGTCCCCCAGCCCTCCCCACGTCCTCTAACTCCGCCCACCACCCTCTTCCCCCAGCCCTCCTCCCCACCATCCCACCTCCCTAGGTCCTCTGTCCTTGCACCAACTTCCCCCCTGCCCTGCCCATTTCCCTACCTCCCCAGGCCCTTGTCCCCCACCCCCTACCCCCACTCTGCCTGCCTTTCCCCCAGCCCCTCCTCCTCACCTCCCCACCTCCCTAGGTCTCTGGTCTCTCCACCAGCTACCCCACCCTCCCCTAGATTCCTCCTTACCCACATCCTCTCCTCAGGCTCCAGGCCACACCCCCACCGCCCCCCCCCCCCCCCCCCCCCCCCCCCGCCCCCCGGCCTCGGGCCCCCCCCCCCCCCCCCCCCCCCCCCCCAGGCCCCCAGTCCCTCAGCCAGGCTTATCCCCTCCCCACGGCCCCTCCCTTTGCCGCTGCAGGCAGCTTGTCCTGCCGGCTCTGCCCTGAGCTCCAGGCCAGCCCAGAGGCTTGGGGATTTGAAGTAAGTGGGCGGTCCACCCTGCCCTGCGTGGCAGAGTCCAGCACTCGGCAGGTGGCCCCTCCAGCCCCACTGGCCTCCAGCCCAGGCCCCCACGAGTCCCTGGCTCCAGGTGTGGCTCAGCTGTTGCTGCTGGCCAGAGGAACCTGTTGCATTCACAACCTCTTGCCCAGATCTCCTGCTGGCAGGCCCCCCACCCCACGCCCCCAGGACAGCTGAGGAGGAGCACCCGGAGAGACCCCAACAGACACTCCTCAGGACTCCAGGGCTGTAAAGGGGTCACCAGATGGGGGATCTACACGAACACCAGCACCACACAGGCCGGGAATGGTGAACGGTCAGTGCCCTGCCCAGCTGGCACCACCAGGGGCTGCCTGTGCCAGGGAGGGGGTTACCTACCAGCTTCCACAGGGCCTGGCTGGGAAGGTGAATCCGAAGCAACCGCAGCCAGCAGGTCTCTGGGAAGCCACATGTGACTGGGGACCCCCCCAGCCCCCAGCAAAAAAAAAAAAAAAGGTAGAGGCAGGAGAAGAAACAGTTCAGACTCTGAGGCAACAAACAGGTGCCTGGGGGCTCCCTTCTCCCAGGGTTCCTCAGAGGCTCCCTTAACCGGGGCGCCCCTGGTGCCCTAAGTCCTGCAATTCACATGTGTCTCAGCTGGTGTCCCATCTCAGTCCATCTGCCTGCCGTGTGACTTGAACCAAAACCGCTGTCCCGCGGGCGGCTCCCAGCTAGATCAACCCCAGGAAGAGAATCCATAATTCATCGTCCGGTTTTCACCTTCCACCTCAGCGTCTGGCTCAGTACAAGAGGCTCTGGAATTTCAGATGTCCAGTCCACAAACTCCGGAAGGGAAGGAGGGCTCCCTTCTGCACCCCGACTCCTATCACCGTTCCAGGGAGCTCACAGTTTCAAAAGAATTACAATCTTCTCAAATGTCAGGTTTATTTATTTAAAAAATGTGCACAGTACAGTTCACTTAAATACAAAACGTTCACTTTCCTTGCAGGTAAGAAATTCCAGACATTTCCATGTCAATTAGCTTCTTTTTAATCAAAATCCCTCCGTTAAAAATAAATACCCATTTAAATTACCGAACCAGTCAATTCATTAGTCTCCATACTTACAACTTCAGAAAACAGACCTTAAACCTTGCCTAAACGTAGTGCCCGGTTCTGAGCCAGCCACATGAGGCGCCCACGGGACACGCGTCTGGGGCCGTCTCGGCAAACCACCTCTCCCGGACTGCCCGCGGACTGCTGGAAGCCTGGCCCCTCAGGGAGCCTCAGACTTGTCCCTCACACGGTGGTGACCTCGACTGCGATGCTGTGAGGGACCCTAGAGCTGGTCTTGCCCTTCCGACGGGTTTCGTGGAGCTTCTGGCAGTGGTCGCGTCCTGCCACCTGGTGCCGGTTCGCACCACGCGAGGAAAAAGCGTGTGACGTGAACCAACAGGCAGTCTCGGTAACGGCGCTAAGCGTTTCCCTTCTGATTGTGTGTGTGAATCCGCCTGATTTTTTCAATGAGAGCAAACAACACGGGGTCCTCCGGAACCCAAGCACACGGCCACGTACGAAACACACAGGCTCCTGGGGGTTAAAAAAGCGTCAAACAGAAAGAAAGCTCTGATGGCCGCCCAGGGAGGCCGTGGCCGTGAGAGCCCACCGCCCCCAGCCTGCGGCGCCCGAACAGGTACAGGCCAGTGGCCAACTGTGGTCAGTAAACACAGAGCACACCCGAGGCAGAGTGGGAAAGACTAGAACCTCACGGACACGAGAGCACAGACACATGTGAGTTTGTGGGACAGACCGACAGTCACAAAGGATCTCGACGAGAAGGGCACAGTCCATTCTGTCCGCTGACGTCCTCAGAGGCAAACTTACCTCTAAATCACTCGGGTTTGACGAATAATGTGCTAAAATCATCAAACGGTAAAAAAGTCAATCACCAAAACCTGGGGCACCGGGGCCCTGTGCCAGGACCCTTCATAAAACAGCTTCAGGGGGACGAAATTTGGCCTTAAAGATTCTGGGGACAGGACAGGCCACCCCCGGGGGGCCACCGGGCGTCACCGTCTCGCCGGGCCCTCGGGTCCTACCCTCTCAGGTCACCGGCAGATCCTGCAGGCGCCGCCCCATGTGACACACAGGGTGAGGGGCTCGTTCCCCTGCGGACTCCCCTCCGGAGGAGCGTGTCCCCCACGCCCCCTCCCCAGGGGCTCCGCCCTTGGCGCCATGGGACGGGCCGCTTGCCGTCCTGCCACCAGATTAACACAGGCCCTGCCTCTGCCACCATCCTGTCCCCAGCCTCCGCTCCACACGGCCACGGGTTGCAATGCAGCAACACCGCGAACCCTCCACTTCCCTTCCCGCTTTCTCCAGACTCTGCAATTGCAGCAAAAGGTGCCTGCAGAGCACGAGGGTGACGAAGAAGTCGTCCCTTTGGCTGTGAGCGGCTTCAGCAGAAACAACCGAGCAGCTGAAAAGCGCAGACACAAGCGAATCTCCGAGGACCCGACTGGCTTCGAGAGGCGGCCGGGGGTGGGGTGCGCTGGCGGCCGAGCTCCCTCTCTGCTCTGGCCGCGGCTGGTGGCAAGACACTGCCCGGTGGCCTCCCGGTGGCCTCCCGGTGCAGGGAAGGGCTTGGCTGTGCTCCAAACCCCAAGCCAGGGTGCAGAACGCGACGTGCGTCTAGAAACCCAGGGTGAAGGCAGGCGGGAAGAATTCTGTCCGTTTGGCCTGGACTCCCACTCGTGTTTTCAGATCTAGAAGGGTAAAAATACAGATGTCTTTTTGCTGTCGGATCTGTAGAGGCATCCAGGGAGGACCCCCGGACAGCAGTCAGCCCCACAAACAGCGGCTCGTCCTCGGCACGAAAACCATTCGTTAAACGAGGACTTGGGGCCATCTGGTATGAAACCAGGTCTGATGTGTTTATAAAATCCCTGATCGTCATCGTTAAAGCTGCAGGGGCGCGGTGGGGCTGTTTCTCAAGGCGCTTCTGTGGTCCCGCTCGGTTCTACACGGACGGGCGGTGATGCCTGACCTTCCATCGCTTGGAGCGCACCCGGAAGAAGAAGTACATCATCATCAGAAACAGGGACGAGGCCACGTACAGCACGACGCAGAGGCTCATGTCCAAGCTGGAGAAGCCCATCCCGAGGAAGGGCACGACCGCCTCTGCCTCCCTGCGGCCCTCAGCCCAGCTCACGCTCTGGAGTCTCCCGTCCAGGCCGAGCTGTGACCCCTCGGACAGGCGGGGTCTGGGAGGCAGCACGCTGGGTGGACGGGCACTCTCGGCACGCTGGTCCCCCCGAGGCTTCTCTGGGGAAGCGTGGCCCCTCTCGCGCTCCCCGCCCCCGGGCGGGCCGCCTCCGTCGCTGGCGTCTCCCTGGTCCTCGGCGTACGTGTCCACGAGGTTGCCGCTGCCGTAGTGCTGCTTCAGAAACAGGAGCACCTGACCCTCGTTCCAGCTGTGCAGGCCCTTAACTTCCTCGTGGCAGGCTGGGCAGAGGTCCGGGCTGGGCCACGGAACCTTCGGAAACTTGGGGTCCTCACTCAGATGGCCTAGGAGGGGAAAGAGAGCGACAGTCGAGGTGCCTCCTGATGACCTGACCCGTGCCCTGACTGGGCCCGTGCCCTGCGAACCCTTCCCCCCGCCCCCCCCGGCCGCCGGGGCCGCCCCGCCCGCCGGCCCGGGGGGCCGGGCCCCCCCCCCCCCCCCGGTACCCACGATGGTGGGAAGGCTCCACGCCTGGCCAGGCCTGCCCCCGCCCGCAGCTGCTCTGTCCCCCGAGACCCCGAGGCCCCCACGTGATCCGGTGCGTGTCCCACCCGCACCCGTACGCCTGCCCCGGAAGCCGGCGGTGCAGATGGCTCCAAGGCACTTCAGGCGTGTGCAGCTCCCGCCCCCCCGCCCCCCCTGGCCCTCCCCAAACCCCAAGAGGATCTCCGAAAACGACTCTGGGCGTGAGGCCCACCCGCGACAGGGAAACCTCGCTGCCTGCGTGCAGAAAACCTGGCAGAGCCCGCTCCCGGTTCTGCTCCAGACACGACACCAGTGGGGCGAGCCCTTCCCCTCCACACGTGTAAACGTGTGGTCACAAAACGGAACCACGCGGCAGGCTTTACCTGCACGCGCCCTCTGGCCGGCACGGGCTCCACGCGGTAAATAAACGCGAACCCGCCCCGCGTGCCAACGCCTGCGTGGTGCCCGGACGCGTGTCAGCACCACACGTGCACGCGAGGCCGCGGGTCGGCCGGCCCCGGGCCTCTGCCCAACGGACATGAGGACCACACGGACCGGGAGCACAGCAAGTATGGCACACGGCGCCCTCAGCTCCCGGACTCCCCCCCCACTGCGGCCCTGCCGGTGCTTCTGCAAGTA